CTCTGACACGATGGTTCACACTCGTTTAGGTAAGAGATTCAAATCTGTCATTAATGTGATGAACCGGTGTCCTGAAACGACCCTCATGAACACATCCTACTCAGTAACGTCACGTGAACGAATCACGAGCATCATCAGCACAAACTAACGAGCAGAACGAGCTTCGCTGACAAGATAATTAACTCTGATCAGCTCTCAGCTTCATTATTAGAGCGAGACGGAGGAGAAAAAGGTGAGATGAGCTGCTTTTCCACCGTTTACAGGCTTCAACTTCTGGTCAGCGCTGCTGCCATGGTAACGCTGAATGACGGCGCACGCGCAGTGGAAAAAAAAGCACATGAATTCCGATCTGTGGCCACGAATCGGATACGTATCAGATCTAGAACCACATATGAAAGTGGCTCAGGTCGGATTTGAAAAGATCAGCTTTGCATGTTCACACAACTCTGAAAACATCAGATCTGAGTCACATTAGGGCAAAAAATCGGATTTGTGCCACTTCAGCCTGGTAATGTGAACGCAGCCAAAAATAAGAGCAGCTTTTTGAAAAGATAGGCTTGTTTGTCATTTCGACAAGGTGGCACAATTCTTCACAACACCGGGAGGCTGCACTGAAGACATGGGTGCAGCAGCCGCTTTGCTAAAGCAAACGCTGCACTGCTACAGATTTCAGCAATGTTGTATTAATGAAGGTTTGTTTTTATTCCCTGTACTTCCGAAAAATACGTCAGTTTCAAACGATGTAAGCGTCGCTGCCCTCAGCTGCTTTGGGATGACGCCTGTTGTAAAAAGCACCATATAAATACTTTGACATCACTTGATTCATACTTCCATGAGTCCTTTACGTTGGCATGTATGTCAAGCAGTACCTCCACTAGAGGGCAGTCAGAGGTTTTTCAAAACAGCAAACATGGTGACGGTGGAGGTCGTAATAATGTACCATGTAGACGGCGGCGGCCTGTGAGGCCATCAAATACTTCGTGACATCGACGAAGAATTCTTTTCACTTATATTACCTTATGAATGAGAGAAATTGGCGTCAGGTCTCACGTGAACTGTTGGCTACACTGCCCCCCCATGGCTTCCAGTGGTGCTGCTCCATTTCGTCCAGCTTTCAGAGCACATGCACGAATACAGACAAAATGAACGCAGTTAACGTTGAGCATAAATTAGCCTTAAGTGTTTAATGAGGTTGCTGGTGTTTCCCCCTTTACACACAACTACCTCTTCACATATATTGCATTTAGCTGCCTCATCACTAAATTTATTGCCTCATGTATATGGAAACATGCATCTGGGAAAGTTCTCGTCCAGTTAAGGAGAGGCAGAGGAGAGAGAGCTGAAGGGTCAGCAGCACCTGCGCAGGGCGATGATTCAGTGCTGTGTTGGCGGGAAGGCAGGTGGCTACCCATAATGCCCCTGGGTAGTAAGCGAGGTTTGAGGAGTGTGATGATGCCTTGGTGAAAGGTCAGGAACAGGAGGAGGGCACTTTGTACCTGCTCTGGTTTCCGAAATCACGCACATGTACTCTTCACCTACTCCTACACTCTCTCTCTCTCTCTCTCTCTCTCTCTCTCTCTCTCTCTCGCCCTTTCTCTCTCCCTCTCTCTCTCTCTTTTTCTCGCGTTGTGTTTCCCAACTTTTCTCCCATGTACTGCCACACAGCCACTTCACGTATCTCCCTTTTTCATGTGCTCCACTCTCACTGACTTTACCCCTGGATTTCTAGTTAACTTTCACTGAGCCACACACACACACACACACACACACACACACACATGCACATTAGCTAAACCCACAGCACGTAATGAGGGGTTGAGTGGGCGTTGAGGGCGGAGCAGGCCGTCGACTCTGAGGGAAAAGGCTTCCTGCTCTGCAGAACATTCCAGATGGGTCCGAACTTGCCAACCATAGAGGAGCCACACGCACACATGGGTTTGTTGTTATTCAGTGTTGAGACACGGGTTCCTATATGTGTCCCGTGTGTACTGTATATACAGTACTGTGCAGAAGTCACTCATTTATTTACATACATTTAACAGAAAATTACCCAGAAGCCTCAACAGCTAAATATAATATCACATTATTTCCTTTATTCCAGCTTCCATTCTTTTCTGGAGACTCACTTTCAGCTCCTCAAAGAATCTGCAGACACACCTCCAAAGTTCAGTCTTAGAAGCTGGTTGATCATTTTCTGAAGTAATCAAACACATTCAGTGGTGTTGGGGTCTGGACTCTGGGGTGGTCAGTCCATCGTTCAGCTTCTTTGTTTGATGTGTCCGTCTCCTTTTCTCAGTGAGGTTCTTCTTGATCAGCTACACATCCTTTCAGACCCACAGCGCTGAGTCGTCTTCTCACAGTGGAAGGATGGACAGAAACACCTGTGGATGTTTTCAGATCTGAAGCAGCTTGATTTTCTCCTCTCTCTCAGAGATGAAGGCTTTAAGTGCTGTTTATCTGATGGGGGCAGTTTTGGTGGGCAGACCAGTCTGTAAGATGTAATTAGGGCTGTGTGACAGTTTAACACATGAAATACTGAATTGAATCTTGGTCCCATGTTGAACTTGAAAATATGTGCAGATTTTTCTGCCCTTTTCTAAAAAAAGGGAATTTACTGTCTGTGGTATTTGTACCCTACAGATGTAACAGGCAAAAATTAGCTGTAAAGTGCAGAGGTGTTCTTTTAACACACTCATTTACTCATTTACACTTCAGCTGAGTTCGGAGAGGAACCTGGTGGAGTAAATGACCTGAATGAGTCAGGTGGTGGGGGAGAGAGAGGGATTGAGAGGAGAAGGCAGTGGTTCTGTGTTTACTTTTCTCTGATCCTCTGATAGGACACACTGAGCACACAGAGCTCCATTCAGGCCTGATTCCCCTCACACACACACTCGCACGCGCATACACACACACAAATTGCAGGAAGTGCTGAGTCTGCAGGGTATATTTAACACACTGGCCTGTGTATGGCACCAGCTCCGGATGTGTCTCTGCTTGCTTGTGTGTGTATGCGTGCATAAGCATGTGTATGTGTGTGCATGTGTGTGTGTGCGTGTGTGTGTGTGTGTTTATATCTTAAATTAGAGCTTTGTCTATGTGTGTCTGAAATCTGCGACTGTCCGTGCGCATATTTTCTAAATCCTCTGCGTGGCACTTTGCCAGAATGGTCAGAACAGTGTAACTGGAAGTGGTGTTCAGATGTTTTGTTTTGCTGAGGTCTGGGAAGAAGGTGGAACGAACCAATCAACCAACAAAACAGTAGTGGCATATTTAAAAAGTGTGGATACACCAAAATTTACACTGTTAGAAATAAAGGTTCTTTGCAGGTTCATTTTTTGTTCATTGAGGGACAAACAATGTTAATAAGGTACAACAGTGGTTCAAAGGTCTGATTGTGAACCTTCAATAAGTTTTTCCAGGTGAAAAGTTTGTATTTGTACCTTTTCATAACCGAATGTTTTAAAACAAAACAGTAAAATAAAAGCCTGGAGGCGAGACGGGGTGTGTGGAGTCAGTACAGCTTAGAACATATCATTTCAGTGGATTATGGTTCAGTTATGTTCCCTGACTAAAGGTACTGAGATGGACACTTGAGGGAACCACCCCAGTGACAAGAGAGGTACCGACCCAGTGATGGTTTCGTACCTTTATTTCTGAGAGTGTAGGCTACCAAAAATGGTCAAAAATGGTGTGGTCAAACAGTTTGAGCAGCAGCAGATCAACAGTGAAAATGCCATCTGAATGGAACTTTTGTAGCAATAGCTTTTGAAATGATGGATTCAGAAACGACAGTGACGGCAACACAAACACGGAATGGAACTCATTCCCTTGGATGACCAATCCGTTCTTTGTTGGACTTTGGATTTTTTGGCACATACTGTAGCCTAAATACTGCAATAGTTTTATTAAATTTCTTCCATTTTTTAGTTTTTATTTATGTATTTTTATTTATTTATTTATTTATTTTGGTTTCAGTTTTCAGCCCTGTGGTCCTGAATTGTGGATTTTGGTTTTGATTTGTTTATTTCTGTTAAAAAGTAACTTATTAATCTGATAACTGCAGAAAATCAGATTTTGTCAGTAATCTGATTAACACGTTTACATGCACTTAGGTAATTAGATAATGGGGAAACTCCAGGTCTAAATGAGTCAGACGTAAACATAATGTAAAACTCGTTTTAAGAACATCGCACCACTCTACCTGAAAATATGAACATACATCATCCAGAAGATGAAGAATATTTAAATCTTTCATTTCGTCAAGCGTGTATTTGGTTTCAGCATCGCCCCAGCAGTGTTTTGCTGCATCTCACAGTAACGCTGCTCGCTTATTTTCGGTACCGCCGTCTGGTTTTGCGCCTGCACAGACTGAGAAACCTGAAAGAAATCAGAGTAAGAGTTTACATGCACTGAGAAATCTGACTACTGAGCTAAAATCCAGCCTCTTTATCAGATTTCCTAATCGGATTTTTACACCTTACTCTGATCTAAGATGCTGTTTACATGACCATTTAATAGATAACTGCAGAAATCTGATTATGAGCGGATTGTTGAGTGCATGTAAACACACTCAGTGACTGAATAGAATGACTTTAAATTTGACATTGCAAAAATAAACTGTTTAAAAAGTAGTACAGAAAAAAACAAACAGTTGGTATAAAGGAATAGTAGAATAATGGAATAATTACTAACCAACATTGCCATCCAGTCCTCTTCATGATACATACAGTTGTACTGATTTCACAGTACTACACGTATCATGCAATATCATCAGCAATATGTAAATGATTCCTCTGACCAGTCAGAGTTAAAAAAATAAATAAAGTAAATTATTTTGTTCAAAATAACGCATATAATCACGAAGTCTTAACATAAAGATGACACTGACCACTCTCAGACACTCTGTTTAAATTTCTCTATTTAAAATGGGTGATTATGAAAAATGAAATGTGTGAGTCTGAGAGGCTGGTAAAGTTCTCTAACGTTGTTGTTTGTTTCAGTTCGGGTCGAGAGGATTGAGCTGAAGGGAATCACACCCAAAGCAGACACGTCAGCAGAGTACACGCTGGAAGTGAGTTATCAATCTAAACCGCCAGCACAATAACCTTCTCATCAATAACAGTCCCATCACTAACTGTCTCATCAAACATCTCTCCCTCTCTTTTTTCAGGTTCTGTGGTCTGACTCCACACTGACAACTGTTTGCAAGACATCTCAGGATGTGGTGGAGTTAGTCTCCCAGGTGAGTTAAAGCCTCAGCAAACTTCTTGCAGAGACGACGCTCGGCTGGCTTCAGCGAATAATATGACGTAATTGCGGAGAAAACGAACAACCACAGTGTCATTAAGTGACTAAGTGACCCTTATTAGTCCTGCAACAGGGAAATAAGTGGTGTGTGATCCCCAATATTTCAGTCAAAAAAAATCTGCGGAAACCAGTCAAATAGTGTGAGATGCCTAATCTTTTTATAAACCTATAGGACTTTAAAAGTCATCCAAGGCTTAAGAAAGACAGAGAAAAGAGGGAAGAGAGAAAAGTAGATTAAATTAGCTAAAGTTAAGTTAGAGTAAATAGTTAAGATAGATTTTATAGTTTAAAAGAACATTTACAACACAGTGATTGGGCATAACATGATGACCACCTCCTTGTTTCTACGCTCATTGTCCATTTTATCAGCTCCACTTACTATATAGGTGCACTTTGTAGTTCTACAGTTACAGACTGTAGTCCATCTGTTTCTCTGATACTTTGTTAGCCCCCTTTTACCCTGTTCTTCAGTGGTCAGGACCCCCATGGACCCTCACAGAGCAGGTACTATTTGGGTGGTGGACCATTCTCAGCACTGCAGTAACACTGATGTGGTGATGGTGTGTTAGTGTGTGTTGCGCTGGTCTGAGTGGATCAGACCCAGCAGTGCTGCTGGAGTTTTTAAACACCTCAGTGTCGCTGCTGGACTGAGAATAGTCCACCAACCAAAGATATCCAGCCAACAGCGTCCTGTGGGCAGCGTCCTGTGACCACTGATGAAGGTCTAGAGGATGACCAACACAAACTGTGCAGCAGCAGATGAGCTATGGTCTGATCCACTCGTTCTGCCTGTTGTTCTCTATTAATGTTCTTTGCCAATTAATTGTTACTATTATTATAATTATTATTAATATATTGTGAAATAATGGTCCAACTAACCAAACATTGCTCTTAGGGAACTCAAGCAAAATACTGGTAATGTTACTTCAGTAAATGGTAGTAAAAGAATTGTCTCTGCCACCACTACTGGAAAAATCCTAGAGGAAACATTAGCCACTTTTACATGCAGCCTGATAATCCGTTAATAATCCGACTAATAGCTCAATCGGAATAGAACACGTCCATGTAAACACCTCAATCGGAATAGTCTAGTCCGATTGAGGCCATTCAGAATACAGTTTCTATCCGACTGATCGAGGTGGGTAATCCTGTAAATAATCCATTAAATAGAAGAATAATATCCGTGTAAACGCCTGTATCTGATTACATTCCCTATCGGAAAGTTTAAGTCCGTTCTGATCATGTTCGTCACATCATAGTGAAAGTTTATACCGTTCAACATGGCGGAGCAGAAACTGGTCTGCAGAGGAGACGAAGTTTATGCTCTGCTCTTTAAAAGACGGCGGTGGGACGGACGTCCAGCTTATGTGTCTCAGAACACGACGTCTTCCTCTCGGCCTTCTTTAATAAGGACATGTGAAGGACGTTTTCCTGAGTCTGACATCATTTTAAAGTAATTAAAAACACAAGCACTGCTCACTGGAAACTCATCTCACGCGGACTGGACCTCACGTGATGTTGGCTGTCATGGTAACGTTTACTCTAAACGCTATTCCATGCATGCGCGTCATTTTGCATCGGATTACTTGTAGTGAGCATGTAAACGAAGATTTTCCATCAAATTGTTGAACAGAGTGAGCATATAAACACCTCAGTCTGAATCTGTAATCGGATTGTATTCAATCGGATTGGCAAAAATCTTTGCATGTAAACACAGCCACTGACACAGTCAAGTGAAGTTTGATAGGCTACACTGTTTGTTGTGGTATGTTTGCGTACATACGCAAAAAAGACGAGCCTTTGAAATCTGGGCCGTAAAAGCTTTTGTGGTGGGCCGTGAGGCTGGGAACCCCTGCAGGATTGTTTTTGAAAGAGTATGATTTTAGCTGTGGTATCAACTTTAGGACAACCTGCCTGATGGAGCTGATCAGGGTCTTCAGGAAAATCACACCTACTTGTGCTAGACTGGGGTCAGAGTTATAGCTCTGCTGGTGGGCAGACTCTACAGGGTTGGACTCCCTCGAGTCAAGAGTATGGTTTTGTTTGGAGAGCTCAAACAGTGCCACATCAGCATGGAAGGAATTCTTACATCAGGATCTCAGGCTGGTACGTGGCCTCGTAGTGGGATAGCTACTGTAAGGGCTCAGAATATGTACGTGTGTGTGTGTGTGTGTGTGTGTGTGTGTGTGTGTGAAAGATAGAGATTGATTGCATTTATCGTTTTATCTCTGATAAGAAAATTCTTGATGATTCAGATTCTTGTTCAGTCAAGTTCATCATCAGGTTTGTGTGTTGTGTTCAAGTGAAGGCAGTGAGATATGCGAACTTGTTTGAGATATGTTGTTGTCAGGTAGTTTGAGAATGTATATACGAATTAAAATACATGTAAAAAATAAAAGTATTTAGAAATTAGGGATCACGATACCAGAAATTTAGTAGTCGATACCAGTGCCAGTGAAATTCCACAATTCTTAATATCCAATTCGAAATCACAGTAAAAACAAGACAATAAATCCCATGTACTTCAATATACACTCCTTTATTAAAAACAATTTTCAACAATAAAAAAACAAAACAATTTCAACACTACAGTCATTATAACACATTATTTGGCTGCCTTGCCTGGTCGACATCCTCCTCTGGCTGATACTGTGAAAGGAAAATTCTGAGATTGCAGGTATCAAGTAGCTCAATGACTAAGAAAACAGGAGAGGCTGCACACACTATGTAAACACACATACACACACACACACACACACACACACACACACACACACACACCTCTATATACTCAGAATGAACAGTAAGGATGGCTGCCTACTACTTCGAGCTGTGATTACATTATGCTAAGCCCTGGCTTCACTACATGACTTTTAAAGTCTTAACAGATTATAAAAAGACTGGGTGCCTCACACTATACGACTGGTTTTCGGCAGATTTTTGGGTGACTGAAATATTGGGGATCACCCACTAAACGGTTAAGAATCACACACTACTCAACTTTCAAGTTGTTGCTGAACCGAACAGAGCTCACTGAACTCTCACAAACTCTTGTGTTCTCCCATTACTAGGAGACGCAAATAAACAAACAGCTGCTGCTGCTGTTTTCTCCGCCGTTTGCGCTGAAACAGTAAAGAAGCAGTGGGTAAACATGTTTAAGTGAGGATCGTGGATTTAAACGTGATCAGTTTGGTATTTTTTAGATTTTAAATGTACGTAAACTCGCCTGTGCCTTAAACTCAGGTCATTAAAAAGCTTCGCTCCACACGTGTTACTTCGCCATTTTTCTGTGTTGACTTGCTGTATTTTCTTCTTTCGCGCACTCACTTTTTATTGGCTGTTGCAGGAATCCATTCAGATTGAGTCACACTAGATTACGCTCAGAGTCGGGTTGAAAAAGTCTGACGTTTAATAAACTTCGACTGGTCTGAAACGCGATCAGGAGGCCAAAAATCTGAGTCTGCGCCCCCCACACTCGACTCAGTTCTCTCTCCGACTGTCGACTCCGACTGACCCAAAAATCTGCAGACTAGAGCCGGCCAGCACAGACTCGGCCAGACTGAGAATCAGGGCTAAAATCGGGGTAACAGTTTTGTAGTGTAACCCCAGCTTTAGCCTAAACATGGTCTTTTAGCATTTAGCCATTGCAAATGTCACATGGAGTTCGCTACTCAACAATGCCAGCTGTCTCAAACAAAAATAATAATAACATATATTTCAATATAAGGATAACAAGGATAACAGATTGGATTTGTTGTTAATGTAACGTTAATATGAATTGAAACTCACCTTGAATTCTTTGAATATATCTGGATGTCTGTCTTTGAGGTGCTTCACGAAGTTGGAAGTGTTTCTTCCTTTCGTCTGAAAAGTTCGATGGCACCGTTTACATGCAGGTTTTTGCGAATCTGTTAATCTGTGATGGTCGACCTCAAACGCAAAGTATTCCATCCATACACGACTCGTTTTTTTCCTTCCATGAGTTGAGACGGAGCTTTCGCTGCTGCTGCGCTTGTTGCCAGCTTCCATGTGTTGTTTTTCTGTGCTGGAAGGCGTTCGTCTTCTTTTTCCGTCAGCATTTATCCGCAGGATAGGACACTTGTAGTCATATATGCTGCTCCTCCATCAGGAGCAGAAGAATTGCATCCCTGGTACTGTAGAAAAACATCACGTTTTCAGAATGTTGACATTGACTTGGTATTGAAGTATAGGTTCTTATGACATCCCTGCAACAGTTTTCCTATAGCAGCGATGTTCCTGTGTGAATGGGGAATCATTACTGCTTAAGGCGTCCCTTTTGCTAATAAGGAGCCAGGAGCTACTGCAGCTGCCCACCACCTTGAGGAAACTCAGCTGCCTGCATAAAAAGTAGGGCTGCTGTTAACAATTATTTTGTGTCTGAACGATTCTGTTTTCATAACAAACACTCTGTAGGACAGTTTTATTTTTTAAAAGAATTTAACTATTGAACTCCAACAATAGACTTACTAAATTCAGTTACTAATCACTTAAATCTCTGCAAGCCTTCCATGTACAGAACATCTCAGACGAAACCTGAACTAGGTCTTACATGATTTTTGAATTTGTTGTAACATAAAACTTCAGATCTAATAGACTAATAGCAATGATAGGCAAATGTGATTTATTAAACGTGTAGAAAGAGCTACCAAACCGTACAAAGAATTACTAAATCATATCTGAAACAAAGTTCCTGAGCAAAAACACAAGCATGTTTACGTTCTCCAGTTTAAGCAGGCTTGTCTGTGGTATTACCAGATTACTCGCAATCCCGAAAAGTGTTATTTTAGTGTGTTTTGGATTGTCTGAGTGTGAAAATGGTGTCACTAATTTCAGTTGAGAGGCTCCTCACCCTGTAATTAAGGGTTCGGGTTTAGAGGTTCGAGTCAAAAGCACCTTCTTAGTCAGGATTTGCTTTTTGTGCACTGAAAACATACCTTATGCTGGGCCCACACTACTATATTTTTTGCCCGATTTGAACAAATTTTCACAATCTGATGCAATTTTCGAGGTCAGGAGCTCGATTAGAAGTGACTGAGGGTGCAGATGATCTGTTATCGTGAGAGGAGAAACGAGTGAATCTTTAGCCCTCCAGTCTGCTCTGAAGTGATCAGAGACCCTCTGTTACTATCAGACATGTTTGATATTTATGACTAATGAACATTCATGAGTCCTGCCGTGTGAGGCGGTCAGATATTTACTCAATGAGTGATTCATACGACAGCCAATCAGAGAGCTAGAAGAGCGGAGAAACAGGTGAAGAGGCGCGTGAACACCAGGTCCAGTGAGCTCAGCTTTGTTTGTGTCGTGTGATCTGAGGAGATCTGAGAGTTTGAGTTCTTATTCGTAGCCCAAACTTGTTATGTGTATTAAACTCTCTCTTTGCCTTGTCGTCTAGTCCGAGCGCCTCACAACAAAACAACAAGGAATTCTGTGACAAACTGACGTTAAGTTTGTGAGTCTCTCCGTTTTCGAAACTTGTTAAGATTTTAAAAGTCGTGTTTTGAGCGTCCAGCCTTAGATTGTGTGCTGGGGGTACATTAAAAAACAAAGGAATTGTACATGAATTTGTGTAAGTGGGTCATTCTACAGAAACGTCCATTTTTCTATCTCTCCATAGGAGTCACTGGTGTTACCGATCCTCATTGGTGCTCCACATAATAAAGGGAACACCAGAGACATTTTTAATGAAAAATGCATTTTACAGAATGGCTGCTACAGAGCATCAAACCACATGTTGTCAGTCATGGAATATCCACTAAAATATGGAATTTAATCCATTTGTATTCTATTTTTTCACAGTTACCTCAGAATAAAGTCGGTCACACCAGTGACTTCAGCTAAAAGCTTCATATGAAATCATGAGCTAAATGAGAAAATCTCTGATAACTGAAAGACACAGTGGACTCACCATGTGCTTTTCTTCATAGATCCTCAGAAAACAGGGAAAAGGAAGTCGAGTGATGTCATCAGTGTGACTTTAATTTCAAAATAAGAGATTTTTTGTTACGCAGTAACACCAGTGACACGACTCCTGGGGACAACTTTCATTATATATTTTATAATATTTATTTGGCATTTGTTTTCTTTATGTCATTTAAATCATACATTCCGTAGTCATGTATAGATTATTGTGGTTAAAATTGCAGAAAAACGTTTTTTTCTTCAAAATGTGGCCTCAGCCTTTACACATGACTGTGGGGACGAGCTCTTCTGTGGTGCTTGGAATTCTATATGATTGATTTAAAAACCAATACTGCTAAATTGAGGCTCAAGAAGATGGAATTGTTAGAATAACTTGTTGTTTTATTTTAAAATATAAATAAATTTCAACCTAACATGTTTTTCAAATGTATCTGTAAATGCTAGGGACGTTTCTGTAGAATGACCCAAATATACAATAATCTTATTGTCTTAGAAGGCAGTAAATCTTGAAAATGACGTTTTGTATTTGAAACCTCATTACGTTTCTTAGAACTCCACTGCAGTGATTCTGCATGTTTAGGTCCATTGTTTTAGTGTCACCTCTGTGTGTGTCTGTCTGCAGCTCTCCCAGCTTTTTCCTGATGACTGTCTGGAGAAGTTCCTGCCTCAGTCTGGCCTTGACCCTGTTCACGAGCTGGATCCAAGGTAACTAAACTCATTGCACTTAAACACACAGACATGTTAGAAATGGTTCTCTTTTAAATGAGCTGTTTTTTTTAAGCACTTCACTCACACTTTATTATCTAATTCATAGCCCACAACAAATTTATAAGGTTACTGCTTTAATTTAGGGTGCCTCTTAACGTCCGGCCAGGGGCAACAGTTAGAAATGAGACTTTTAGGCTAACTCTGGCTTTGATATTTGTTGATATTGTTTATTAACCCCTTAACAAGTTTTATTACACACTTCTGTGACCTAAGAATAGCTCCCATTAGTTTGCATTGAAGTCGCTGTAGTTACTGAACAATAAGCCTTTGTATGAAATAAACCTGAGTGAAAGGACATAATAATAAATAATAAATAAAATAAAGAAAACAGCAGATTCTGTATTCAGTTAACAATAACACATCACTTTGTGTGCAGATATATGAAAAATTGAATATATGAATATCCAGTGCAGCATTTTCTGTTATCAGTCAAGTACAGATATTCACAGAATGCATAAATCCCCCCCCACTTAAAACCTAAGACAATGTGGTAACACTTTCCATGAATGTCACGTTTGTAAGCATCTATAAACACATTTATAACATGTTACAATGCATTCATAACGCATTGTAAACATGGTTATAAATATTTATAAAAATGAATTACACTGAATTACACTTTATAGCCATGTTTATTATGCATTGAGTTGCTAATATAATGCATTATAAGTAGTCTTAGTAACATGTTATACTGTCAGGGCCAAAGAAGCCCCAGCTTGGAGAGACCAAAGTAAAGACAAATACAAGTTTATTTACACTCTGGAATTTCTAATATTTTATTTCTCAGCGCTGGTGATGTTAGAGCTGCATCTTCGGGGCTTCAGTCCTGAATATTCAGATGCTCCAAACAGGCTGTCCAGACTAGATTTACTGCTACAGTGAGCTTTTCTTAACTAGCGCTCTCACTTTAAACACTACATTACATCACAGCAAACCAAGTACCCATCAGCCCCTCCCCTGACCCCCCTCTGACATCACACTGAGCGTGAAGTCACTGTGTAGTGAAGGCCTGGAGAGGGAGAGGCGAGATAGTCGAGTGTCATTGTAATTTGTTCCTTCACTGGTTCTACCATTAACCACTAGAACCTTCACTGTGTAGCATCATTACACTACAGTACAGTAATGCTAATTTCTGCTATCATTCTATTAGATATGCAGTGCTAAGTTAGTGCCAAGCTAACGGTGGTGTACATTACCTTTCCTACATTGGGTAAAACACTGATGGCAGCTCTAGTTTAAACTCTGACATTTGAAGCCTGTAATGTGCTTTACTGTGAATGTTTTAGTGTTTCAGTAAATCCTTCAGTAAATACTTCAACTTGAAGCCTCACTCTGAACACTGAAGGAGGCTTTAGTACAGTACGCTTCACTTTACTTAGAGCAGACAAATACGACTTATGAGCTCTTATAATTTGTTATGAACAGTACTTATAATGCATTATGTTAACAATTCATAATGCATTATAAGCATGGCTATAACATGTAATGCATTTTTATAAATATTTATGATGCCTTTTGAATGCATTATAATGTTATGAATGTGTTTATAGATGCTTACAAACGTACCATTCATAGAAAGTGTTACTGACACCGACAGTGTTTTTGATAATGTAGGCTATAATTTAAAAAAAGTTGCAGCGCTTGCAGTTTTAAAATTGCACTCTCAAAAATTGCAACTATGATATAAAAATGATTAATTTTCAGCCCCAGTGCAGTCTGTGAAATATTGAATAAAAATCATTGTATTCATAGTTTTTGAGAATATTTTCTTAAAATATGGGTTCCTCTTTGTCCATTTCAATTTATCAGATGTCTGAAAACATATTGTGACATTGTGGATTGTGAAAATTTCTTCATTTATTGTGATACTGTATTTATGCCATATCGCCCACCTCCATGCAGTAACTTCTGTTTCTTTGCTGAGTTTAACATATTTGAAATTAACAGAACATAAAATATAACATGCCGATATTTGCACAGGCCACATAACTTGTTTTTTTTCCCCAATATGTCAAATTCAGCAAAAAAACAGTAATTATAGTTGAAAAATTATGGTTCTTCAAGGGTCCTTCAGTAAAAACTATGGTTCTATATAGAACCATGAACACTCAAAGAACCCTTTGCATGATTAAAGGGCTCTTTGCATCGTGAAAGCGTTCTTTAGATTGATGGAGAATGTGCTGTAGATGGTTCTACATGGAATCGTTTTGAAAAGGGTTCTATACAGCACCAAAAAGGTGTTCTTCTATTGTAATGATGTCCGGATTGTAACAGTAGAAGAATCCTTTTTGCTGCTGTATAGAACCCTTTTCAAAAAGGTTCTATATTGAACCATGTACAGCACATTCTTCATCAGTCTGAGGACTGCTGTGTCTGATCCACTCAGACCAGCACAACACACACTAACACACCACCACCACGTCAGTGTTACTGCAGTGCTGAGAATGATCCACCACCCAAATAGTACCTGCTCTGTCAGGGTCCATGGGGGTCCTGACCACTGAAGAACAGGGTAAAAGGGGGCTAACAAAGTATCAGAGAAACAGATGGACTACAGTCTGTAACTGTAGAACTACAAAGTGCACCTATATAGTAAGTGGAGCTGATAAAATGGACAGTGAGCGTAGAAACAAGGAGGTGGTCATAATGTTATGCCTGATCGGTGTGTATATATATATATATATATATATATATATATATATATATATATATATATGCACATAAACACACAAATGCTTTTCTTTATATGCATTATGTTGCCAGTAGATTTAATTTGTCATTTTTCTCCCCTTTCCAGAACCTGCACCCACACATACATTCTCTCTCTCTCTCTCTTTCTCTCTCTCTCTCTCTCTCTCTCTGTACCGAACAAACACACCCACACACACAAACCCACGCCTGATCACACAAGCTTGCACCTAGACACACAGTTTTAACTTCTTATCCTCTGCAGGTGCCTGAGTTCCCTCCCTCTCCACATTATCCGGCATGACAGAGTTCGTCTCTTCTTCAGCTGTTCCTCCGCTCCTCCGCTGCCTGCCAACAGTAAGCCCCAACACACCCCCCCCTCCCCCCTGCCACCCACACACACTTCTTTACAGTAGGGGTATAACGATTCACAGAATTCGTAGTTTAATACGATACGGTGGCGTCTTGTTTCATTACATCTTTTGAGCTAAAATAAGGGCAGTCTGAAAGTCTGCCTTATGCTAACGTGTTAGTTTCCTTTTTCAGTTTATTCAAGTATTCAACATTATTAAAACACAGTTTTGGAGGCTTTAGAGTGGTACAGTGGAGGTTTGATTGACCCAGATTCAGACTGGTTTCTTAGAACCACTAAACAAATGCTGTGCCTCAGACTAACAGCGAGCCACAAGCTAATATGTTAGCCTTGAGCTTATGTGCCACGAGCTAACACATGCAGTACCATGTGTTGCGATATGGCAAAACTGTCATATCACAGTGTTTCTAGACATTTTCACGATGCATCACGATGTTTTGATGCAGACACAGTGCATTAGTAAAAACACCACCTAACATTTTCGGGCATTTTGACTTTTGTTCAGGACTTAACGTACCGTACTGCAGCATCAGTTAAACCAGCTGGTCAGTGTTACTGAAGTACAGACGATGTCCATTATATACTTAGAAAATATGTGACGATAACAAAATAATGTCATTAATATTAACCACTTCTGCGTCACGATACAATACGTTATGATACAGTGTGACAGTGTAAGGAACAAAGCAATATCCTGTTACAACACATTATAAACGTTACTGTATAATATGAGGCAGTTATGATACCATTTGATACGATACAGTTTGATACGTTATGATAAAACACTGTACGTTGCAGTCCAGTGTGATACGCTGTATTGTTACACCCCTGCGTTATAGTGGTCAAGCCTTCATTCCCCACTCCTCACAAAAAGTCAGACGTGGAACAGACCATCTCCTGGGAAAACAGGGGGAGGTTACTATTTTTGGTTACGCAGGAATGTGAGTTGACCTGGTTGTGAGCAGGGAGCCCTCGAGAGCGATGACCTCATCTGGTCATCTGCAAATAGCTCAGGAGGGCACTAGAATCTGTGTGAGTGTGTGATGGTATTCTCAACTCTTTCTGTCTGTTATATCTGTCTGTCTGTTGTCTGTCCTCTCTTTCTCTCTTTCTTTCTCTTCCCCTCTCACTCTATTTGCCTCTGTCTGTCTGTCTTTCTGTCCTTCTGTCTGTTTGTCTATCTATCTATCTATCTGTCAGTCTGTCTGTCTATCTATCTCTCTGTCTGTCTATCTGTGTGTTTGTGTGTCTATGTGTCTGTCTGTTTCTCTATCTGTCTGTTTGTCTGTCTGTCTATCTAGTGATCTTTGTATCTATATCATTCTAGAATTTTCTTTTTTCTTTCTTTCTCCCTCTCCTACATTCTCCTACATACTCTTTGTTTCTCCTCACTTACTCTCTCTCTCTCCCTCTCTCTCTCTCTCTTTGTCTCTCTCGCTCTCTCTCTCTCTCTCTCTCTCTCTCCCTCTCTCTTTGTCTCTCTCGCTCTCTCCCTCCCTCCCTCTCTCTCTCTCTCTGTCTCTCTCCCTCTTTCTCTCCCTCCCTCTCTCTCTCTCTCTCTCTCTCTCCTCTCTCTTTCTCTCCCTCTCTCTCTCTCTCTCTTTGTCTCTCTCGCTCTCTCCCTCCCTCTCTCTCTCTCTCTCTCTGTCTCTCTCTCTTTCTCTCTCTTTCTCTCCCTCCCTCTCTCTCTCTCTCTCTCTCTCTCTCTCTCTCTCTCTCTCTCTCTCTCTCTCTCTCTCTCTCTCTCTCTCCCTCTCCCTCCCTCTCTCTCTCTCTCTCTCCTCTCTCTTCTCTCTCTCTCTCTCTCTCTCTCTCGTAATCCTGTACACTGGTTTCTGGTTTTCTGCGCTATGAGGCGGCTCTGAAATAAGACCAGACTCTGTGGCGTCCCCGAGCTGGAGGTTGCAGTTATTGCAGCTGTATCTTCCAGTCACAGTGTTTGACGTTGGCTCATCAGCTTTATACATGAACTCTGAGTCGTCTGATCCCACAGCAGGACCACAGTGAGGCCTCTGAGGGCCACATTCATTAGGGTTACAAATGCAGTGTAGACCCTTTAACACGACCCTTTAAAACGTTCTGCTCTTTCGGCGCATCAAATACTGGTTTCAGTGGTCAGTCAAATCTAAACATCGGCCAGTGAATAATTTTAAACAGTTGCATATTGGTGGGTTTCTACCCACAGGTTGTCAGGCTTCTGAACAAGCTGTGAAATTCCTTCTGCATTACCTTCTTAAAGTCCTTCTACCATTTCACTGTGCTACTTTTTTAGTGTTATTTATTATAATCATATCACTGCTACATACAATATCACTAAGTAGTGCTGGGCGATATGACCTCAAATCAGTATCATGATTAATTGAATGTTTTGCCTCGATTATGATTAATTATAAAACGATTATTTCGTTTTTTGTTTGTTTTTTAGCCCTCATAGTTCACTGAAAAGGTTTGTACTGTAAATATTTTCTGCGTATCTTAATGTAAATCGTCTCAACAGCCAAATCAGAATTCACGCGACTTTTACGTCGATCCAACTTGACATTCGTCATAATTTCGTGCTGCTGAGACTTCGAAAGAAATGTCCGAACGCGGCCGCAGGAGAACGAGGCTGCAGCGCCAAAGAACAGTTAAAAGTCTGAAAGCAAAGTTTAAAGAATCCGAGGACGCGAACCAAAGAAGTGACCGCGCCCTTTTTACGGCTCAAACACATTCTGGGCGATGAGCCCAGCTGTCAGTCAGTGAAGCTTCATGATGGCTCCTGTGATGCTGGTGAGGATGAAGCTGATCCTCCGGGAGCGACTGGCGTTCGTTGGCAGTCGTGATTGTTTACCTCTGGATGAGCCGTGAAGCAGCGTGACGCTCTGTTCTTTTGTGGCTCAGTTTAGGAGCTGATCTGTTCAGACTGATGTCTCATACAGATCACATTTAAAACACAGTGTGAACAGCCAAACAAAAAAATTTGATTCGGTGAGAAAATCAGATTTGGGCCACTTTTACCTGCTGTGTGAACACAGACCGTAGCTTCCATGTCTCAGACGGGTCACATGACGACATGCGCTGTAGTAAGTTTTTAAGAGGGACAGTACATGAACACACAGAGAGGGAAAAGGATTTAAAATTTTTTTAAAAAAATCGAAATAACCAACATGGTCAAGATTACATCGGTTAGAGGTTCTGAATGTCGATGTCGATTACTTTTCGATTAATCGCCCAGCCCTTGTTGAGATCTTCTAATATGGCCCTTTCACTCGTTGAGTTCGACACCCCATCTTAGATTATCCTTTGTTTAATATTATATATATTATTACTGTATAGAGAGTTTTCTTACATAGGTATATTTATTATATTTCATACATACATCGTCTAAACCGCTTAGGCAGGATACACCCTGGACAGGTCGCCAGTCCATCACAGGGCAGACAGACAGACACATTCACACCTAGGGGCAATTCAGCATGTCCAATCAGCCTGACTGCATGTCTTTGGACTGTGGGAGGAAACCGGAGTACCTGGAGGAAACCCACACAGACACGGGGAGAACAGGCAAACTCCACACAGAAAGGACCCTGGTCACCCGGCCGGGAATCGAACCCAGGCCATTTTGCTGTGAGGCGACAGCGCTACCCACTGCGCCACCGTGCCGCCCTATTATATTTCAGTTATTTAGTATTTTTTTGTTTGTGTTATGTTTTTGTTTTGTTTGCACTTGTTTTTAGTATGTATATAATGCTGCCCTGCGGTAGAGTGATTACCTGAGCCTCACCACAGGCATTTCAGTGCATGAATGTCCTGACAACTTGAAACAATACGAAACAAACGCCGGCTTTTCAGTTCGCTTTTACTTTAGAGTCTGAGTAGTAAGATCATTTTTAATTGTATTTAGCCAAAATACGGTAGAAAGGAGAAAACATGAAAGAAATTCTTGAGATGCTTACAAATGTTTTGTTTTGTGTATTTCAGATTTGAGTTGTCTACCTCAGTACAGAGGAGCTGGCAGGTGAGTGCCACTTGTGCAGTGTCTTGGGCCCAATCCCATTTCACCGCTCACCCCTACCACTGAGCCCTTACCTCTTCGTTTTGCATGTTCAGGTCTAAGGGTAGGGTGACCTGATTCTTGTTGAGATAGAAGGGTAGGGCAAAGTGTTAGGGCTTTATAGCCCTCCAAACAGAGGTTTTTCAGAGACTCCAAACAGAGTTAAAAAGAAAAAGAAAAAAAACAAAACATGGCTGAACAAGCAAAGAAACAAAACCCAAAAATGTGAAAATTAACCACCCCTTGTAACTCAAGGGGCAAGGTAACATTTGAAAACAAGGGGTAGGGGTAAAAATAAGAAATGGGATTGGGCCTTGAATGCACGTTTTACTTAGATATGTTACGCACAGAGAACGAAATGATCTGTAATTGCAGAATCACCATATTAGTGCATCGCTAACACTTCTAAAGTCTAGAAAGACCATACTTAAAGCTTCTTCTCCTCCATGTCTAAACAATTCCAATAAATAATACATTTTCAAATAAATTTTAAACACTTTTTTTGTTTTTGCACCCCATCACAAATACGTGTGCCTTGAAAAGTGTTTATTTGTGTTTAAATCTTTGTTTAAGCATTTATTAATTTATTTATCTGTGATGATGTAAAGTACCCCTCTTACACATCACAGTATAATGACTGAGTGTAAACACTTACCTGTACTTACCTGAGGACTGATTATCCTTGCTTTGAGGAGCAAAGAGAACTGAACGGGTTCACCTGTGATTTACTTACCTGGGTGAGTCCATCCTCTGTAGAAGAGGAGGGAAGGGCCAAACCTGCAAGAAGAGTAAAACTGGTTAAGAAGTGTACACTGAATTGGAAATATATATTAATGACGTTGTGAATGTAAATTTGATCAGTAAGGAAGTTCATGAATTATTTACTGTTGCATGTAAATATATTTAAATATCTGAAGCACTTGTTTTTAACCCGGGCCAGTAATGGTATATCCTAGGGGAGGAGCACCCCTGAATATAAGCAGCATTACTTGGGGGGGTATAGGAGATCACTTCTTTTAGCTTGGTGAAGACTGAAGGTGATGTGTGCAGACCTATATGACTTTACAGTCAGTGGTCAGTCTCATAGCCGTAGAGACCATTTTCATTTTGTCTTCGTTTTGTTTTCGTTTGTTATGTGTGCGCGTGTAAATATGTAAATAATCCTGAGTGTTGGTGTGTAAATAAAGGTGACGGGGAGAAGATCCATAATTTGTCACACCAAAAGAGTAGTATTGCTTATTTTACTGCCAGTCCCCTCAGTTTTGTCCACTTTGTGCAAATACATATATGCAAACGCAGTGACCTTTCATTGGTGGACACCAGGTTTGCTATTCAGTTTAAAAAAGAGGAGAGTGGGCACAAAGTCCACCGCCAGTGTTTATCATTGTCATGCTAATAGCCTTAAATTGCATAAGCTAGTATTTAAAAGTTGTTTAGGGTATTTAAAAGACCTGAACATGCAGTAATCCTTAATGTTTGTAAACAGTTTCTTATACTGGCCTTCAATATTTGCGCATTGCATTCACCCTCACTTCCCTCTCTCTCTCCCCGGCTGACCTCTCTAATCTTTCTCCTTCTGTCCTGCAGGGCAGTCTGTGGTGTGGCCAGCATTCAGCCAGTCGTTAATGTCCACGCCCCGATACCTCAGACCTCTCCGCCTCATCTGCCACCTCAGCCAGTCATGCCCCTGCACCCTTCTGTACCATTAGGAGATGGTGTCCCATCTCAGAATCACCCCAATAACCCACCTGCTCACCCCCAAACGCAACCACCTCCCCAGCAACAGCAACCCCATTCACACCCCCAGGCCCAGACCCAGCCCAGCCCGGAGCAGAACGGCATCCTGGACTGGCTACGCAAGCTGCGTCTACACAAATACTATCCTGTCTTCAAGCAGCTGACTATGGAAGAGGTGAGCATGTGAATCGGATTATAAGGCAGCTGAGGCTGTAAATCACATAAATGTTGCTACCACGGATCCATTTGATCAGGCATTTTGAAATCCCATCTTTCTTCAGGTTCTAACATGGTTCATTGCTGGTATTTGACTGTATTAGTGAGCGTTTAGACTTGAGCATTAACCCTCTGGGATCGACGAACGCCGACACGTCAAATTAGATGTTTCTCGTGTTTCTATTACTATCTTTATGATAATCCAGCACAGAAATCCAGTTCAAACACTTCCTGAATCTGTAGAGTCGCCCTTTCCATTCCATCTTATCACGAGATCATACGAGACTCACATCCAGAGTTATGAGCCTATGAAGAGGGGCTGAGATACACGTCATCTGCCTCTCACCGTGTGGAACTGGTGGATATGTGTGTCCGTCTACATTCTGTGTGAAAACTGATCAATGGACACTCAGGAAATCACTGAGGACTGACCATCACGTTAAAAAAACAAATTTTCGTTCAGTTGCCCCAGACGCAGATGTGAGAGGTGTGTAAAAAGTTTGCAGCTGCTGAAGTTGCTGCAGCAGTTTTGGAAAAAAATGATGTGGAGAACATTTATCTATTATTTTATTCATACATTCATCTACTTTTGTAAACCTAAGACTTTGATAAACTCATTTCAAGCACCAAAACAATTCGTCCGTATGAGTAAAGCTATGTTTTCACAAGCAATATTAAGAATTTCTAAAAGCTGGATTTCATTTTTTCAGCTTTCGGGCCCGGTTATCTCTTTACGCAGTGCTCCAGGTCAAAAAGGCCTCATTACAGAGAGAGCTGAGATTGTTTTGAACGTTTTGATATGTAATATGTGGGTATCATGTCGTATGCAAGTGCCTTTAAAGATGCATTTAAGAATATATCCCAGAGGGTTAAAGGAACACTTTCTAGATATCTGTCTGCAGCATTTGTAGCATTTCGCTGTTGTCGGAAGAAAGCCTCGTATCTCCAAAATGGTAACTTTACAGGAGAAGGAAAAAACCTACTTTACTTTTAATGTAAGTCAATGGAACCAGACTTTTTTCCAAGTAATTTTCAGTCATTTCTTTTAGTCCATTCATCATGAAATTGACACACAATGTAAAGGGTAACAGGTATTTTCAAATTATGTCAAAAACTGAAAAACGCCCAAAATGGAGATTTCTTCCGACAGCAGCGATATTGTTGATTACCACAGGCAGTTTTGTGCTCAAAATACTTCTAGAGCAGAAGCCAAGAGGTGGGTGCTTCATCGCACTTTTCAAAGTGAAAGAAAATGATTGTTTTTAGTAACTGACACTATGCTACATACGTGGAAAATAGAGGTCAGACAGAAAAAGTATTTCTTTAGTTAGGTACTGATTAATAACTCGGTTATATCATGAACTGTGTCCACTGAAGAGGACAGATGGTTAGGATGTAGTTAAGGGTAACTTCTTACTTACTTATTGTTTTGGTCTTTGCATTCTCTTCTGATGGCGCACTGCATTTCCCACAGTTCCTTGCTCTCACCGAGGAGGACCTGAATAAGTATGACCTCACTCAGGGAGCGAAGAAGAAGCTGAAGACTCAGCTGGAGCTACAGAAGTGAGTGAGCAGAACATGCTGTCAGACACAGTCCTCTGACCTGGTGATCACCAGCCATCCTGCTGATATGACTGACTATCAGTTTTAAGATAAGAGAACTTTATTGTCCATTAAATTAGCATAAAATAGAAATTTGTCTTTGGCAATCTGGGAAATAAATACATACATTCTCAGAAATAAAGGTAGTAAACTGTCACTGGGGTGGAACCCTCAAGGGTTCATCTCAGTACCTTTGGTCAGGGAACATAACTGAACCATAATCCACTGAAATGATATGTTCTAAGCTGTACTGACTCCACACACCCCGTCTCGTCTCCAGGCTTTTATTTTACTGTTCTGTTTTAAAACATTCGGTTATGAAAAGGTACAAATACGAACTTTTCACCTGGAGAAAACTTATTTAAGGTTCACAATCAGACCTTAAAACCACTGTTGTACCTTTTAAGGGAACATTTACACTGTTTTTACCTTGATGAACAAAAGATGTACCTGTACAGAACCTTTATTTCTAACAGGTGTACAAAAATGTGCCAGATTGCCAAAGACAAATTTCTATTTTATGCAAATTTAATGGACAATAAAGTTATTTTATCTTAAACCCAGTTGAACTAATCGATACCTTTGATTGGCTGGATAAGGAGCACTAGATAGGATCTGGAAAATCATGTGTCTTTTACGTTGTGTGAATATTTTATGATGAATGGGCCAGTAGAAGTGGACTAACATGACTAGGATTAAAATCTTGTTGCATCAACACACATTACAATTAGGAATGTTGACAGTGACCATATATGTTTTTCCTATACGCATATATATTCTATATAATTCCTATAGACACTACATTTATCAGTGTTAACAGGAAGTGTTTTGTCTGTGGTGAGTGGCCGCATGGTTCATGACGGGGCCGCTGTGTTGAATTTGGAGGAGGCAGTGCGTCAAAAAGTTGAGCAGAGTTTAACTTCATGCAAATAAATCCAGCCAGTGCAGTGTTTCCACAGTTAGAGGGCAGGTAGTGTTTGTGTGACCACTGTCTACAGCTCAGTGTGTGAAACATTCATTATATTTATAAGATGTTTCCACACAAACAGCTGCAAAAGCACTGTTTTATCTTAAAAATCCAAGGAGTAAGACGTTGGGCGTGAATCAACTGAAATAACTGATGTTGACTGCAGGAGATAATCAGCACCCTCTGTTTCCCAAATGATACATAGTACGTTGACTTTATGATTATTTTCAGAAACATTAACTAGATAAATATTTACTTAGCAAGACTTATTTTAATTGGATTTTGCTGGGCGTGGCCTTTTAACACCCACATGCAGTGCAAACACGGTGCAAGTCCATCATCAGTGCAGTACATGAAAACTAGTTTAATATATATTTTGTGCAAAGAGTCTGAGGTTTTTAAAACGCAGAGTTAGAAAAGAAAATCATCTCACAGTGAAAGCAGCGTTTTACAGTAGAAATAAATGGAGCTCATTATGCTGGTAGTGAACTATGCTGCTGACACAGCTGCCTAAAAACCATAGAAACGGACCTTAAACAGAAGTGAGGACCCTGTTGGGGTTCATCCTGAAGTTAGGACAGGATTTAGGAGGTTTAGTCTAGTTAGGATGTTTGTGTGATGCTGTTTTCTTATCTGGAGTTAATGATGAGATCATGAAGTTAGGAACTGTTATTCTGGAATAGCTACTGTCCTGCATTCAGTCCGTACTGAAGTCGTCATGGAGACTAAACAGGTTAGATTTCAGAGTTAAGATGTTTCTGTAATACGACCCCAGATATTACTTGGGTGGTGGTTCATTCTCAGCACAGCAGTGACACTGACATGGTAGTGTGAGTGGTGCTGGATGAGTGTATCAGACACAGCGGTGTTGCTGGGGTTGTAATACATGTCAGATTGAGAGTGGAGCACCACCCACCCAAAAATATCCAGCCACAAGCGGCTCTGGGGTCAGGAACTGACTAGAGGACGGCTAACACGGACTGTGAGTTAAGTCTGACTGTACACCAGCAACATGAAGGCCTTATCCCATTTCACCCCTCACCCCTACCACTTAGCCCTACCCCTCTGTTTTGCGCGTTCTAGGGGTAGGGTGTCCTGATTTTAGTTGAGATAGAGGGGTAGGGCGAAGTGTTAGGGCTACATGACCCTTCAAACGGACGTATGAGAGAAAAAAGAACCGGCAATATGACTGAGAAACCCACAAATGTGAATATTTCTCCATTAAAAATTACGATAACCGTCGCATTGTCTTAGTTTAATGTCGTTTCAGTGTATTATGGTCGTTTTCTTCATAACAAGCATAAAAATCACTAATAGTATGCTAATGTCTCTGTAAATTTCCCGTTCCACCTTAAATAGTCCAGTGGTTCTGACACCTGAAGCTGCAGAATGTAGCTGCTTTATTTAAGGTGGAACAGGGAAATGCGAATGAGAAGCTGGCGAATATCTGACTTCAGCTTCATATCACTGAAGAATTAGGGGTGGTTGATAATAAATAATTGCCCCCCTCTTTGAAGGCATATGATGCCCTAAATGTAACTAAAGCCCAGCAGTGAGGAGCTGAACTTTACCCTCCTCTGCTGTCACTGCAGACTGGCAGGGTCGCCTACAGAGCAGCGCTGGTAGCTGTTAATGAAGTGATGATCTTTTTATTTGAGGGTCCCATTTCAGAGGGAAGATTTCAACCACCAGGAGACACTCGAAAACAGGGGGTAGGGGTAAAAATAAGAAATGGGATGGGCCGAAGTGGATATACTACTTACAAGTATATCGCTGTTGTCGGAACAAAACCTCGTATCTCCAAAATAGTAACTTTACAGGAGAAGGAAAAAACCTACTTAATGCAAGTCAATGGAACCAGAATTTTTTCCAAGTCATTTTGGGTCATTTCCTTTGGTCCATTCATCATAAAATTTACATACAATGTTAAAGGACAACAGGCATTTTAAAATTATGTCAAAAACTGAAAAACGACAAAAATGGCGATAAGAGGTTTTCTTCCGACAGCAGCGATTTACTGGAACTCAAGCATTTCTCGTGATTGTCTTTGTGTAAGTCTGGGTTTGGAGGGCGGTTTGGTCAATAGTTAAGCTAAAGACTGATTGATTATTTTAGATAAGATGTAATTGGTTGTGACTCTTGCCAAAGGCTTTGCTGTGCATTAGTATGCATGACGGTTTTCCACTGATCTGGAATCAGTTGTGCTCTTTCTGTGACTTTTTAAAGACTTGAGTACAGGACCAGGTCAGACTCAGCACAGTTTAACACTAAAGGAAAACCATTATCAGTGACTGTTCTTGTGAAAGAACATGCACATACACACACACACACTCCGCTCTAATCCCTTTTCCATTCACAATATCTGCAAGTTTCCACTAGCCAGCTCAGGCCAGGGAGATAGGGGCGAGATAAGGGGCAAGGAAAGCCGCAGATGCCTTTCCAGCCTTTCCATCAGGCTACCTGAAAAAACAAGCACAAGCGCGGGTGGTGTGAGGTGGATGTTCAGAGCGCTGGTCTCTGTTTAGCCCAGTTCTCGTCAGTGATCAGTGTGTGTGAATGAAGCACTTTTGTATGTTATACTGTTTGTACTGTTTTAGCCTGAAGGTTACAGAATTATAGCTGTTTTTTATGATTTAATTTTTTTATTGTTATCACAGGAACTGCTGTGTACAGGAGAGTAGCATATTATTCCATCTCAGCAAACAAACAGACACATTTACTCTGTAAATGGAAATGTGAATGAGACGTCAGCTCAACTCAAAACAATATAGTAACTGATTACATGGCTTTTCTTGAGTTGACTCAACTTGAGGACACAGCAGTTCACACAACTCAAACTTCCTAGTTGAGTCAGAAGTTCTCTTAATATTTTTGGTTCTGTGTCTCAGTTTGGTAAATAAAATGAACTTGTTTTTTATATCACTTTTATGCTTCTCCCACTAGCCAGGACTTTTTACATCACACAAACCTGCTGGACATTCTTCCTCCTGGATACGCACTGGCTATGGATGGCTGTGGCATCGCTGGGGCTCAAACTCACAACCTCCTTTTGGGGTGACGGCTTAGTCCATCAGATTTTGTATCTAGAGATGTTTAAAACACTGGAGAAAAATATTTACTGTTTAAACTTTAAAGTCTGGCATCGTCTCATGTGGTGCAACTGTCTAATGATTCATCCCAGCATCAGGAGGTTGTGAATTTGAATCCCAGCAATGCCACAGCTGTCTATATCCAGAAGCCCAAGAGGAAAATATGACAGATGGGACTGTGTGGTAGACGGAGCGCCAGCTAGTGGAGAAACTGAGTTTCGGCCACTCATCTATTTTCTCTATCTCTCTCTCTCTGTCTCTCTCTCTCTCTTTCTCTCTCTCTCTCTCTCCCTGTCTCTCTCTCTCTCTCTCTCTCTTTCTCTCTCTCTCTCCCTGTCTCTCTCTCTCTCTCTCTCTCTCTTTCTCTCTCTCTCTCTTTCTTTATCTTTCTCTCTTTCTCTATCTCTCTCTCCCTCTCTCTCTTTCTCTCTCTCTCTCTCTCTCTCTCTCTCTCTCTCTCTCTCTCTCTCTCTCTCTATCTTTCTCTCTTTCTCTCTCTCTTTCTCTATCTTTCTCTCTTTCTCTCTCTCTCTCTCTCTTTCTCTATCTTTCTCTCTTTCTCTCTCTCTCTCTTTTTCTCTATCACTCTCTCTTTCTCTCTCTCTCTGTCTCTCTCTCTCTCTCTCTCCCCCTCTCTCTACAGTCCCCCGCTCGCTCTCAGGCGCGCCCCTGGCACGTCACTATTTGCGTGAGCCAAGACGTAAAACCTACGATATTATTAAACACGGCTGATTTTGTCGCAGCGTCAAAACAAGAAAAAGACTGACTTAAGACGGCCGTCCTGACCAGCTCACACTAAACGATCGAGATGACGCGAGCGCGACGCGACTCTAATAAGACCCTCATGATTTTATTCTGACATTGGAAATTTGTCTGCAACAATGAAATCGCTTGAAAAGTCGTTTGGTGTAAGTTTGAGTTGGTTTCCTCAAGTTGACTCCACTCAAGAAATGTGAGTTGATCAGTTCCTATATCATTTTAAGTGGAGCAGACTTCTCATTTTTACAGTGTAGTGATATCACCTCTAGGAGAATTGGCATAAATTACTCCCAGAGTTCTTAAAAAATAATAATAACTATAACAATGAGAAATAAACCAATCAGCACAGAAGTATTACGAAGTGTTACAAAGCTACAAGCCAATTGAATTGAAATACTCTACAGCCTCGATCCACGTTTCACAGTAACATTCACACTTTGGGTTAAAAGAATAGGACACTCGCTCCAGTAGTACATTTTCCAGTAAACAATATTTCCATGCAGTCAAAGAAGGTGGTTGTGACTGAGGGAATTATAGCTGTTTCTAATTGTTTCAGGGTGTCGGCTTTCAGCTTATGGAGATCAGTCAAAATAAAATAAAAAAAATTAAAAAACGAGTATTAAAGATATAATTCAGCACCGCAGTGTAAACACCTACAGCTGTGTTCTCATTCTGTGGTAGAAATTCAGTCGTATAGTTGGCTTGTGCTGAGTGGCAGCACATGCAAAAAAGCAAAGCTGTAATAGGTTTGTACACATCGCCATCTAGTGGGCAATACTGGAAGTGAAACAGTATTTGTTTAGTCTTTGTCCTGTTTGGCAAGCACTTCTGACACAGCTGATGTCTGTCAATAAACAGCTGACAAACAAGTATTTTGAGAGCGTTTGGTTCCCAAGTCTAGTGATGGGAAGCACTTATTTAGTTTTGAGTTGAATTAATTAGTGTTTAGTTTAGTGTTCGTGTTAAAAATGAGAGCTTTTACACCCTGAAAATTGGAAAGGTATTAAATATACACCGATCAGGCATAACGTTATGACCACCTCCTTGTTTCTACGCTCATTGTCCATTTTATCAGCTCCACTTACTATATAGGTGCACTTTGTAGTTCTACAGTTACAGACTGTAGTCCATCTGTTTCTCTGATACTTTGTTAGCCCCCTTTTACCCTGTTCTTCAGTGGTCAGGACCCCCATGGACCCTCACAGAGCAGGTACTATTTGGGTGGTGGATCATTCTCAGCACTGCAGTAACACTGACGTGGTGGTGTGTTAGTGTGTGTTGCGCTGGTCTGAGTGGATCAGACACAGCAGTGCTGCTGGAGTTTTTAAACACCTCAGTGTCACTGCTGGACTGAGAATAGTCCACCAACCAAAAATATCCAGCCAACAGCGTCCTGTGACCAGCGTCCTGTGACCACTGATGAAGGACTAGAGGATGACCAACACAAACTGTGCAGCAGCAGATGAGCTATCGTCTCTGACTTTACATCTACAAGGTGGACTGACAAGGTAGGAGTGTCTAATAGAGTGGACAGTGAGTGGACACAGTGTTTAAAAACTCCAGCAGTTTTTACTTACATTGACCACCACCACATCAGTGTCACTGTGAGTGCTGAGAATGATCCACCACCCAAATAGTACCTGCTCTGTGAGGGTCCATGGGGGTCCTGACCACTGAAGAACAGGGTAAAAGGGGGCTAACAAAGTATGCAGAGAAACAGATGGACTACAGTCTGTAACTGTAGAACTACAAAGTGCACCTATATAGTAAGTGGAGCTGATAAAATGGACAATGAGCGTAGAAACAAGGAGGTGGTCAGAATGTTATGCCTGATCAGTGTATTTTACAAATGATCATGTTGATGAAATACATTATAATGTACAGTCTAGGAAATTATTCCGTTCACTGTAATGTGATTCTTTGTTTGTTTATCACAGGGAGAAGTTGGAGAAAAGATACGTGTTGTCTCAGTTTCCTGTGTCGTGTGGGGGGGTCGCAAGAGTAACACCATCCAGCTACAACGGCCCTCTAACACACACACACTCAAGCAGCAGCAACACAGGTACACACACACACACACACACACACACATAGACACACTACACTCTTAAATAAGATGGTTCTCCAAGGGTTTTTTAGTGAAGAAAATGGTTCTATATAGAACCATGAACACTCAGAGAACCCTCAAAGAGTTCTCTGCATTGTGAAAAGATTCTTTAGATTGTGCCGTAGATGGTACCATATAGAACCCCTTTTAGAAAAGGGTTCTATATAGCACCAAAAAGGGTTCTGCTATTGTTACGATGTGAGATATGCACAGAGCAGAACCCTTTTTGGCGCTATAAAGAACCCTTTTCAAAAAGGTTCTGCATAGAACCATCTGCAACATATTCTCTATCAATCTTTAGTAAAGAAGATGGTTCTATATAGAACCATGAACACTCAAAGAACCCTTAAAGAGTTCTTTGCATCGTGAAAAGATTCTTCAGGTTGTGCCATAGATGGTACCATGTAGAACCCCATTTAGAAAAGGGTTCTGCTGTTTTTACCTTCTTGAAAAAGAATGGCAAACTAGAGGAATTAAAAAAATGTTCTTAGCCCAGTTGTACAGACACACACACACACACACACACACATATATACATTATATATATATATATATATAATGTATGTGTGTGTGTGAACATATATTATATATATTTTTTTTTCATAATACATGTGTTCTTGTATGTATGTGTTCAGAGTTGCGTGTGGAGGTAGAACAAGGTTCGCTGCCTGTTCTCCGTGACAGCAGTTCCTCGTCTGGCTACTCCAGCGCCCCCTCCAGCCCTATGACCCCTTTGTCCCGAGACGCTTCCTTCGACCGAGCCAAAGAGCCACACAGACGTACGAGGCTTCCACCACAGCTCACAATAAAAAACACTCCTCGGGGGTCGGGGTCGGGGTCATCTGCATTGGTTCATGAATAAACAAAGAAAATGTTGAGATAAGTCTAGTCAGAGTTATTCACATAGCACCTTTAAAGTCAGGGCAAAAGTTCTGCCAGTAGGGCTGGGCGATACGGCAGAAACATCATATCACAAAACTTAAAAGAGGCGTTCATACTTAATGTGTGTTACGGTATCAGACACATCGCACTCCACACTTAAAAACTGCATCAGAAACTCTGTAAAGATTTTTATTCAACATTTCACACATTAAACCAAATTAATCAGGACTAATGGTGCTTTTTCTATAATATAACGTGCAGTTGGCCAGTTTGTTAAACATCAGCTCAAAGAAGCATTTTATTTATCATGATAATAGAATTTGCCACAACAATGATATGATAAGGTAAGATAATCCTTTATTAGTGGGGGAAAAGTCACAGTGCTACAGCAGCAAAGGGAGAGCAAGGCACTTCAGAAAAGAAGTAACAAGAAGAGAATTAACAAATGAGGTAATTAACCTTATTAATTACTTAACATGATTACAGTTTGTTACTTATTACTGTATGGACAATGTATTTAATACTGAAGATAAAAAAATAAACTCTATCCTTCACAAAATGAACAATATAAACATTATAAATAGAAAAGCAAAGAAAAAAATCTTTATACTATAAGAATGTTTTACACTTATTGCACATAAAGACCATCATATAAAATATCACATTGCCCAGTACAACCAAGTAACACAAAATAAATATTAAATAGTTATAAGAATTGAGAGAAATTAATAAAATAAAAGAAAACCACACACAAGCATATTAGTAGATGTTGCTTAACATGCTCTTCAGACTCATGTACACTGGAATTGTCAAGGGCAAATGGAATTGGGATTCTTTTCCAGGCCACTGTTGCCCTCGGTTTACCCGTTTGGGGCTGCACCTGGATTTCTGTAAATCTGCTTTGTGACGATGTCTGTTGTAAAAGCACTGTTCTAATGAAAACTGACATCTGGCAGGTGCAGACCCTGGCTCGGAGCCTGGAGAGAAAGAACGGCCATGTTTCTTGCTCAACCCTGCTGGTTCCGGCGGCCCAAGTCGACCCACAGCTCAGGTTCTCCCGGTCCAGAACGACCCATTGCTATCACCATCACACCAGAGCAGCCTGAGCCCTCCCTCCCTCCCTCTGCTGTCGCCAGGGCGAGGATTAAACTCTGCCCGCAAGCCCCGTCCCCTGCCGCTGTGCTCCGAGGAAAGGCCCAAACCCACTGGGGCCGGGGTAGCAGTCAGCGTGCGCCTCGAAAGCCTGTTCCCCGGCATGGGCGTAGACGCTGTGCCGCATGGGCACCAGGAAGGCCCTGGGGCTCGCGGGCCCTTAGCTGTGCTGCGCACACCTCCAGGGTTGATGGTGGAGACCAGCACTGCTCTGACTGCAACCTCTAACACCCTCCATCACGTCTCTCACCCACCCCTACACGTGCAGGTCTCTCCCTCGCCCGCCCACGCCCGCACAAGTCAGTACCCTCACCCTGCCTCTTCCTCTTCCTGCTCCTCTTCCTCCGGGTTGACCTCCAAACCAGCCTTCCCGCCTGTCAGCGCCGTTCCCGTGGCAACCGGCAGCACCGTGCCTGTGGCGGCAGTGTCTGGGAACACCTACAGCATCAACAGCGCCTCCGTAGCCCCGCCCAGTTCCAGTCCCATCACGACAGAAGCGGTAGGTTACGGTTCAAACCAAGCAAACGGCACGAGTTCAGGCTCAGCCGTGTGCGTGTGCAGCTCTTGCGGCTGCAGCGGGAACTGCGGCTCCTACGGCACGCTGCCGGCCAGCTACAGCGGCTACTTCCCGCACCCGTTCTCCGGGACGTCCGTGTTTACGCTGGGGCCTCTGCTCCACTTCAGCCCACTTCTCACGGGAAGTGGCTCCGCCTCTCCCTTCTCTTATCCCCTGGTGGCCCCGCCCCTCTACAACAGCAGCCTGTCACACGAGTCGCCGCAGAACCTCATCCTTCCTCCCATGCAGGGCTTTCTAGGGGGAGGGGCTAATGTCTACCAGCCCCATGGGATGATGGGAAATGGAGGCGCGGGACAGAAGAAGACGGGGAACATGTCCTGCTACAACTGTGGGCTGAGTGGGCATCGCGCGCAGGACTGCAAACAGCCACCGATGGACTCTACTCAGCAAGGTATGGGAAGAGCTCAGCTCAAATGATAATCATACTTTTCTGATAGAAGCTTCGCAGTTGGGACGGTATCAATAAAACAACCACAGTATTTACCAAATACATCAGGCTGTTATGGATAATGGATTTATCTACACCGATCAGGCATAACATGATGACCACCTCCTTGTTTCTGCGCTCATTGTCCATTTTATCAGCTCCACTTACTATATAGGTGCACTTTGTAGTTCTACCTCACAGAGCAGATACTATTTGAGTGGTGGGTCATTCTCAGCACTGCAGTGACACTGATGTGGTGGTGATGTGTTAGTGTGTGTTGTGCTGGTACGAGTGGATCAGACAGAGCAGTGCTGCTGGAGTTTTTAAACACTGTGTCCACTCACTGTCCACTCTATTAGACACTCCTACCTTGTCAGTCCACCTTGTAGATGTAAAGTCAGAGACGATAGCTCATCTGCTGCTGCACAGTTTGTGTTGGTCATCCTCTAGTCCTTCATCAGTGGTCACAGGACGCTGCCCACAGGACGCTGTTGGCTGGATATCTTTGGTTGGTGGACTATTCTCAGTCCAGCAGTGACATTGAGGTGTTTAAAAACTCCAGCAGCACTGCTGTGTCTGATCCACTCAGACCAGCGCAACACACACTAACACACCACCATGCCTGATCGGTGTATAACCTTAAAAGTTTAGAATATAGAACTTTTAGTAGCTGGTTGTTTGTGTTCCATTCATTTCATCAGTTTTTTGGTTTTTGTAATCATATATAATCTTGTACATATTTGAGCTTCAGCCCCTGTGTTTAAACTGAACCAGGTTCTGTTGAATATGTTGAATACAGTTTCAGGCCATTTACTCCATATACACACCAATGCCTAGTCGCACCTCGGTAACTACGATCCAAGCTCCAAACAAGGAACACTTTTTTGATATCCCAGCGAATTAATACAGAATTCAGTTGATGTTTGCACTCGTGTGTGTGTGTCTCGGGCATTTTTACAACAGCTTTAAATGTGGCTCAGCCAGTCAGCTTTTAGATATGGACATTTCTGTATTATTAATAGACACTTTGACTGGTCTTGTCCTTAATTTTAGGCTTGTCGGTTGACATTTAATCGAGGAATTATAACAGTCGGTTATCAGTCAAAAGAATTAGCCAAGACTTGCATCCCTACAGGCACCAGTGCATGAATATCTCGTCCAGTACTATTTGCAGAACATCTGTATCATGAATAAATTCATCTATTTAATGTAATTGTCAATCATACAGTGCAGTATAATTGAAATTAGTGAATTATGCACTACTAATGCGTGTGTGTTTTTTTTTTACAGGGATGTTTCGTCTCAAGTATTCTCCTCAGTCAGACAGCCAGGACTCTGGTGACTAGGTGTGATTTCGAGATCATATGTGAGGTTTTTTGGCCCGGAGCCCTCGTCCGTGTGTGAACTCGCACTCACCGAAACCCCCCCACAGGAACAGGGCTCTGGATTTTGTCCACAGCTGAAGCGCTGGAAAAACAAAACACTCCAGCCTAGGCTTCTCCAAACGCTGTGGTGAGACTTAAGTCGAAAGCCCTGAGAAAACGGTTACGATCGTTACCTTGGAGAGAGGTTTCCCAACAACCTAATGCAAGCAGTCGTGGAGTTGGACGGTATAAGGAGTAATAAAACCAAAGAGGACGCCTTGCTTGACAAGACAAATCTTTAGAAAGGAACGTTGCAAAGGGGGAATGTAAACGTAGCTGTTGCGTTCTTCGCGCTCTCTCCTCTCAGGTCCGCCATCGGCCTCTTCTAACTGCGGTTTGTACAGACAGCATCACCGCTTTTAAACTGTAGTGTGTGGACAAGGCAGTTTCTTGCACATCTCCGGTAGGACTTTGGAAAAACAGGAAAGAAGACACTGCCATCTTTCAATTCTGAGGAAACACGAGTAAAGCGATGGTTCTGACTCTCGTCCGCACCAATGCACAGGTTCTTGGAAGCCTTTCGGAAGAACGTTTAGATGTATTACTGCTCTGTTTTATGTGGTTACATTTTGGTTTTTTCAAAATGTACCTTGTTGATCGCCATGAAAAACATCATACTACCCAGGAAAGACACTTAATCCTTTTATAACAAGCTCTTTTTGTCGAATTCATTGCCTGCGATGTCTTTTTTTGGATGTCGTGATTTTGGGAAAATCGTTTTTAATCATTTTGGAAATCGTCTTTAAGGCGTTTTTGATATCTGATGTCTCAGTCTTTCGCAGCTAGGCCCTCATGTTGGGACAGAGCTACCTGCAGCAGCCCGAAGGCAAGGTGTGGAGCTCAATCCTCACATTTCAAAACAGTTTTTTTAATCCACAGCTGCCCGAAGTGGCCCTTGCATAGGTTAAACAGCTGGACAGATTTACACATTTGCTATCGTTTATTTGGAAACGGACTCATCAAAGGACCTTAACGGGTGGATGTTTCTTACCTGCCGATGTACATATGCATGGCTCTAGAGTCTAGCCATAAAGCAATCATCGTGAACAAATATCGGTTTACTGAACTGCACCTTAGCCAATTTCTCAAGGACTACAGCAGCCCAACACACAATGCACTTCTATGCTGAAACACCCACTTCAAAAGAAGTCATTCAAACGAAATGAGTGTTCGCAGCTGAACTCAGTCATCTGCAGAACTTGTTTCCATTTATTTCTTTAGCCAGAACCCGCAGTAATCAGCTATGCATGTTGCCTTATAACAAGTATTCGTTCTGTACATTTGGAATATGTATGTAGTCAACGTCTTTTATTATCAGAAAAAGGCTGCAACTTGAAAGATAATCTTTTTTTCATGTACTTTTTTGGCCGTTTTGTATTTAACAGTGATGCTGAATGAAGTTTGTATTCAGAGTTATTTTGTATACTGTACCAATTTGAGATTTCAAAATTAAACCTGTTTTCAGATTTACGTGTGGAAGCTGGGTGTGTTTGGGATAGTGTGTAGAAAATAAACTGTACCCTTCAGGGTACGAGCGCGGTCACAGGGGTCAGACCCTCAAGGGCTTTTTCATTACCTTTAGTTTCAGGAACATAACTGTACCTTATTCTGTGGCATCTCCCCGTGTCTGCGTGGGTTTCCTCCAGGTTCTCTGGTTTCCTCCCACAGTCCAAAGACATGCAGTCAGGCCAATGGAGATGCTAAATTGCCCCTAGGTGGGAGTGTGTGAGTGAATGTACATGTCTGTCTGCCCTGCGATGGGCTGGCGACCCGTCCAGGGTGTTTCCTGCCCTCCGCCCATTGACCGCTGGGATTGGCTTCAGCCCCCCCCCCGCGACCCAGAAGGATAAGCGGCTTAGAAAACGTGTGTGTGTGTGTGTATTCTGTTGCAGTTGAAGTTTTAGGGATTTGGAGACCTCTCTGGTGGAAATGTGTAATTGCACACAACTTGCAGAAGAACATTTTGTAATGTGGGTGTGTGTGTATATACATCGATCAGGCATAACATGATGACCACCTCCTTGTTTCTACACTCATTGTCCATTTTATCAGCTCCACTTACTATATAGGTGCACTTTGTAGTTCTACAGTTACAGACTGTAGTCCATCTGTTTCTCTGATACTTTGTTAGCCCCCTTTTACCTTGTTCTTCAGTGGTCAGTACCCCCATGGACCCTCAGGTACTATTTGAGTGGTGGGTCATTCTCAGCACTGCAGTAACACTGACGTGGTGGTGGTGTGTTAGTGTGTGTTGCGCTGGTCTGAGTGGATCAGACACAGCAGTGCTGCTGGAGTATTTAAACACTGTGTCCACTCACTGTCCACTCTAATAGACGCTCCTACCTTGTCAGTCCACCTTGTAGATGTAAAGTCAGAGACGATAGCTCATCTGCTGCTGCACAGTTTGTGTTGGTCATCCTCTAGTCCTTCATCAGTGGTCACAGGACGCTGCCCACAGGACGTTGCTGGCTGGATATTTTTGGTTGGTGGACTATTCTCAGTCCAGCAGCGACACTGAGGTGTTTAAAAACTCCAGCAGCACTGCTGTGTCTGATCCACTCAGACCAGCACAACACACCACCACGTCAGTGGTACTGCAGTGCTGAGAATGACCCACCACCCAAATAGTACCTGCTCTGTGAGGGTCCATGGGGGTCCTGACCACTGAAGAACAGGGTAAAAGGGGGCTAACACAGTATCAGAGAAACAGATGGACTACAGTCTGTAACTGTAGAACTACAAAGTGCACCTATACAGTAAGTGGAGCTGATAAAATGGACAATGAGCGTAGAAACAAGGAGGTGGTCATAATATCATGCCTGATCGGTGTATATATATATGTATGTATGTTTGGATGTATATACACACACCCATATTAATAATTTTTATTACAATAATCTGTAAGACATACTGTGTGTGTGTGTGTTTATATACAGATGACATACTTTTAGCTGCACCTTTTAAAGCTCCTAACTGCTTAATTATATCAATATTGTTTATCTCCACGCAGATTGACATGCAAATATTTACAGACATGGATAAAGGCTGTTTTGTGAGAACGACTCGCGTAATCCAAACATGATTACATGTTTGCGTCAAGCACCATTCAGTGTCACCCGTTACCATAACAAGTAGCATATTTGCCATGATTCCACTGCACATGCCCAGATCTTATGTCAAGATTCTGATTGTGAAAGTCATTCAGATGTTTACATGATTATTCTGCTATTTAACCTCTTTCAGCCGGTCCTGATTTTCGGTGTTTATATGAGGGATTTCGATTGGGTTATTAGGTTGCATGGAACATCCTAATTACAGCATTGTAGCTCACAACAAAGCAAAGTGCAGATGTTTGAAATTTTCCAAGACAATCTGAATATTGCTCTGTTTTATTTCTCCTTTAAAATGACAGACAGGTCAAGAAGAGAGTGGTGCAATATTGCTGTAAATGCAGAGATGCAGAAGAGGTGGGACAGCACAGAGATGAGAACAGATAAAGCACGGCACCTCCGCTCTTCTCCATCACACCCGCTTTCAAACAAATAACCTTTCCTTTATTTATTTATTTTGTTCATTACACATACGTATAAGCATATGATTACAAGGAAACATCTCTTTAAATAAAACAAGACGATTAAGCTAAATGCAAACGCTCAGGATAAAAGGCATCTAAACTTTTTTTTGTTGTACAATTACCTGTAAGACATACCGACGTTGGCGTACAGTAGCACACATATGCGTTTATAAAGGCGTAAATAACCCTCTCTATTAAAATCAGGAACTCTAAAAGCGTGCACCAGAAGAGAAGCTTGGGTTTCGGAGCCGTTCGAGCCCAAACCCAGGGCTGCCTGCACCTGCTAAAGTGACGTGTCCATCTAAAACAGGTAGCTTCCTGCCCGTCACAGCACAGGCGAGCGGCAAACCACCCACAGCGTTTTTTTGCAAAACAACATTCATCCATTCACTTATGCTCTTTTCCTATGCGGCTTGGCTTGTTTTGATGACATATTCTCCTTTATTTTTTCTATATCTGCATTAAAAAGCTTTGCACTACAATCATAAGGTTCTTGATAGCTCAGCATTTCCCTCTTTTGTCCCACTTCTGAGTGACTTGGGGAAGTTAAAGAGGGGGAAAAATGACATTTTTCGCTTTCTTGGGTTGTGGATCCGAAATACAGCACCCACAGCCCTCCTGAAGAAAGCAGGAGAGGAGAGAAGAAAGGCAGAACCGCTTAACTCTTCAGATAAGATTTGGTTTGTCAGCAACAAGCAGTCTGTCTAAATTGAGCGAGATAACGGAGGCCCGTCCTGTTCCCAAACGACAGGCCTTTGGGAACAGGACTCGAAATGACTTATAACTCCACCTCTGAGAGATCTGAGAAGAAAAGAGATCTGAATTCAGGCTCGAACAAGCTGATAAACTACTCTTAAGTCATAAAATTAAATAAATTATGTCAGGATATGAGCTTTGCTGAGTCACGCAATCCCGCAAACCGAGAGCCGTACCCGAACTCAGAGCGCTTGAGCCGCGTTTACGTTATCAAACCTCTGATAATTAAGCTTCTTCCAGGTTAAAAACAGAACGGAAACGTCCAAGCAGATCTGATGTGTCTGATTTGTTTAGAATTTGGACCACATTCATAAACTGACGCGAACCGTTTCGGTAAATGCTCTTGTGCTAACGACGGCGTGCCGAAAAACGCACCAATCTGCTCAGGGAAAAGAAATAAAACAAACCCCATTTGCAAACAAACCCCTTTGTTTCTTTCTTTCAAGCCTTCGCCACCCTTTTGCTGATCGTCAGCACAATCCATCCTACAACCGAAGGATGATCTCATTCTCCCCAAACAAAAAAAGACCCCTTTTTGATCCATAATAACAAAAGACATCAGTAAGAGAGGCCGGGTTTAAAAGGAATGAAATCTAGGGTCTGGTAAAGGCTGGGGGCAACGGGGCCAGCCAAAAAAGGACAACAGGTCTAGCTCCTGTGGTCCTATCTGCGTCTGTGTGGAGGTGGTCTATGGCGGAAAAGGACAGAGGGTGGGGGTAGGGGGGCGTGGGTTGTATTATTGTCCAGAAGAAAGAGCCTGTAGGCGTTTACTGCGAGGCCGCTGTTCCAAAAGTCTCCTGGGAAGCGTACACCATGTACAGGAAGCCATCTTCGTCCCTCTCGCGCTCGTAGACCTCGGAAATGGCCGTGGAAACGGACACCATGCTGTGGCCGTTCACGAGCAGGAAGAAAGCCTGGTTGGAGTTCAGCTGCAGGCGCCTCCTGGTGGCGACACCCAGACAAAACACAGACCGTCAGCACTTCTATTTTAACCCGCTGCTATTTTTAACCTGCTTTCATGTGCAGCACCGAGGACGAATATCAATGAGGGTCTGGATCTAATTCAGAGGATCTGCCTCCTTTTCTCTTCCGCTCGTGGGGTTGCGGAGTTCATTTTTAACCATTTAAAATGGATGAAAACTACAGTGTACAGTGGTATCTGAGGAAAGAATTTACATTTAAACACTTACAAACATTCAGAAGTGGGAATTTGTCTGGATTACCTGATGATCTTAATGAGTTCACTCATGTTCACATGGTCAGGAACCAAAAACTTCGTTTTGTCCAGAATAGGGAGCTGCTTCTCACCCTTGTACCTCTCAATGATGACCTGAAATCAGAATAAAACGTAAGATTTATTCTCCTGCCTGCTTACAAATGATAAATAAATAATAATAAACAATCATATGAAAAAGTTTGGGCGCCCCTGCTTAAATTCCATTTATTTCATTTTGTTGATTTTCCAAGTGTAAACAAGTGAACACACTTCTGTGCATTTTAATACACAATTACTGTTTATTTGCTGTGTTTAACTTATTTTCACTCTGAAAATCAACAAAACATATAATCTGACCAGGGCTGTTCAAACGTCTGCATACAACTGTATGTCAATGTAAACTGATTCTATAACAAGTGATTCTGGACCGACTGTCATAATGAGATGTTTACATAATGATACGGGCAGCTGGAGGTTCGAAGTTTTGATATGATGGCACCAATATTTTTATATTGCCAGTAAACATCAGCTCTACCAGTTCATAATATTGTAAGACACACAACATCTAACATCTCAGTAATATCAAGATATACACCATACACCCCTGAAGTGTTTAGAATGATTAATGGGCCCATTTATATATATATATATATATATATAAATAAAAGTATCTCCAAAATAGTAACTTTACAGGAGAGGGCAAAAACACTCTGACCTTTCAATGCCAGTTAATGTAAAGAGATTTTATTTCAAGTGATTTAAAAGCATTTCTATTAGGATGTCTGGTGGGTTGAAATGATGTAGAAAAATAAAAATCGTCAAAAATAGAGATATGCGGATTATATGTAAACAAGCTCTGTTCTGATTGGCTGCCTTGTACTGTGTCTAATTCAAAAAGCTGTGATGAAACACTCCTTATTACTTCAGTGTGAGTGAGCAGCACTGAACTGCTGTAGGCTAAACAGGTGGATATATGCAAATGTGTTGTTTTTGTGACGTCACAACTTAAAAACAGGCTGTTTTAGCAGCTTAGTCTCCATACATGAACTGTACGGCCTGGGAGAGTGAATGGTACATTTAAAAACAATGTTTATGGGTCATTCTACAGAAACGTCCACTTTTCTATCTCTCCATAGGAGTCACTGGTGTCACCAGTCCTAATTGGTGTTCCACATAATAAAGGAACACCAGAGACATGTTTAATGAAAAAATGCATTTTACAGAACGGCTGCTACAGAGCATCAAACCACATGTTGTCAATCATGGAATATCCACTAAAATATGGAATTTAATCCATTTGTATTCTATTTTTTCACAATTACCTCAGAATAAAGTCGGTCACACCAGTGACTTCAGCTAAAAGCTTCATATGAGATCATGAGCTAAATGAGAAAATCTCTGATAACTGAAAGACACAGTGGACTCACCATGTGCTTTTCTTCATAGATCCTCAGAAAACAGGGAAAAGGAAGTCGAGTGATGTCATCAGTGTGACTTTTATTTCAAAATAAGAGATTTTTTAGTTACGCGGTAACACCAGTGACACGACTCCTGGGGACAACTTTCATTATATATGTTACAATATTTATTTGCCGTTTGTTTTCTTTATGTGATTTAATTCATATATTCCTTAGTCATGTATAGATTATTGCAGTTAAAATTGCAGAAAAACGTTTTTTTCTGTGGGGACGAGCTCTTCTGTGGTGCTTGGAATTCTATATAATTGATTTAAAAACCAATATTGCTAAATTGAGGCTCAAGGAGGTGTGATTGTTAAAATATATATATATAGGTGTGATTGTTTATTTTATATACGTTTTATGATATATCTAAACACTAGGGACACAAAAATGGACCTTTCTGTAGAATGACCCTTATGCTACATCAAACTCAGTTCAAACTAGCAAGAAGAATTCAGTTGTCCATGATACGAGCCCTTCAATATTAACAGGCCTTCGTAAAAGAAGAGACGCTGCACTCTGGCTGTAACTATCGGCGCACTGTCTGCTGTTTTTCCTGAATGCAGAGCCACAGCATTTTTCCTCCTCAGAGGGTTGATAATTAGCTGGTGAGCTGAAACAGGTCCCTGAAGGACTGAGGGGGGTTAGAAATGGCCTGAGGGTTGGAGATGTTCAGGAAATGGTCAAACAGTGAGCTGGGGCATGTCTGCAGCAGATGGGAAGCTGACGGACACTTAATCCTAATGGTCAGCTTGGGTAACAATACTGCTCAATAGCCTCACAGCTCAGTCAGTAGAGGTGACTCCTCACACCTATTCTCTTTCATGGATGTGCTCAGATATGCTGATGCTGGTGCTGGTGAGGTGACTAACGACTCATTCTGTGGCTCTTCAGCCAGAGTTTAAGATGTTTTAATGTGTAAATGTAATCCTTTAACCGCAGGAGGGGCAGTTGGGTGTGTTTACAAAACCCTCAAGGTGATCATGAGATTACTGACCTTTCAGCCTTCTTGACCTCTCTAACGTGTAAATAGCACCTTTACAAAAACGCGTCCGTTTTAACTGCAGATTGAACAAGTGCAAACGGCTTTGGGACGCGTCCCAACAAGTCCTGCTTCTCAATAAAATAAAAGACACTTCAGCTGAATCCTGCTACATAACACTGACATCACCATAAACATGTTATGGTAGACGCCACCTGCTGTTATTACAGATTTTGTTCTGTAAAATACACCAATCAGGCATAACATCATGACCACCTCCTTGTTTCTACGCTCATTGTCCATTTTATCAGCTCCACTTACTATATAGGTGCACTTTGTAGTTCTACAGTTACAGACTGTAGTCCATCTGTTTCTCTGATACTTTGTTAGCCCCCTTTTACCCTGTTCTTCAGTGGTCAGGACCCCCATGGACCCTCACAGAGCAGGTACTATTTGGGTGGTGGATGATTCTCAGCATTGCAGTAACACTGACGTGGTGGTGGTGTGTTAGTGTGTGTTGCGCTGGTCTGAGTGGATCAGACACAGCAGTGCTGCTGGAGTTTTTAAACACTGTGTCCACTCACTGTCCACTCTATTAGACACTCCTACCTCATCAGTCCACCTTGTAGATGTAAAGTCAGAGACGATAGCTCATCTGCTGCTGCACAGTTTGTGTTGGTCATCTTCTAGTCCTTCATCAGTGGTCACAGGACGCTGCCCACAGGATGCTGGTGGCTGGATATTTTTGGTTGGTGGACTATTCTCAGTCCAGCAGCGACACTGAGGTGTTTAAAAACTCCAGCAGCACTGCTGTGTCTGATCCACTCAGACCAGCGCAACACACACTAACACACCACCACCACGTCAGTGTTACTGCAATGCTGAGAATCATCCACCACCCAAATAGTACCTGCTCTGTGAGGGTCCATGGGGGTCCTGACCACTGAAGAACAGGGTAAAAGGGGGCTAACAAAGTATCAGAGAAACAGATGGACTACAGTCTGTAACTGTAGAACTACAAAGTGCACCTATATAGTAAGTGGAGCTGATAAAATGGACAATGAGCGTAGAAACAAGGAGGTGGTCAGAATGTTATGCCTTGTGTACACTCAATGAATGTGTCACACATATACAGTCAATGAGTGTATATATCATATATATCAAATATACAGTCGAAGTCAGTGGTTCAACTCCTTCGTGATTGGAGCCTCTCGCTCTCGTTCATACAGCTTGGGGTTTCTTGTTACAGTGGAGGCTCTTGAGAGGAACTGGAGCTGCAGCTTTTGGCTGTAAATGATACTTCAGACTTGATGTACTTCGGTCATAAACAAACTCACAGAGCTCAACATGTAAAAGCTGGATTAGAATTAGAGGCTTAAACTGTGGATTCTTATCATAGCAGCATACAGAGCACTGCAGCTGGGCTTCAGACCGGAACCACGGATGGGTCAAACTAGGAAAATGTGTTAATGGGGCTTAAAACAATCATACCATGAATAATTCAATGTGTTATTACCATGTTAACTTTGACACCACTAGAAAAAAAATCTTAACTGTTATATTTATGTACCGTTACATTGTGTGGAGGCTCTTTACACTTCTACCGAAAGTTTCCTTAGAACCAAAAGAGGCTTCTCTATGAACCTTTTGCGCCGCATGTAAAGGTCTCAAAGTAATAAGTGTCCTAAACAGATTCCAGATCCATAAAAGCAACCACATTAACTGATCACATTCACTCTGGCACTCTCTAGATCAGATTTCAGCAGTTGCTGGTTTGCTCGTGTGTCTAAATGGAGTGAGAAGGACTTACCGGGATTTTGTTCGGGTGCTGCTCTCGGATCTGTTTAACATCGTCCACTCTCTGTTCTGTACAGACACAGACAACAGCGACATGTCAGATGCAGCTCATCACTGCAAGCCTAATACATTAATGTACAGATATTTTCATATGAGCTGTCATCATTCAAATGATTATTTGATAATAATAGCTGATCTAATATAATGTACAAACAATAACCCACAGAACATGGCCCATTTATAAAATTATACATACATACATACATACATATATATATATATATATATATAAAATGGACTTATTAAAATCTGCATTTTATCTGTATCCGAAACCCCTCTTAGTACAACCAAAACCCCTCCCAGTGCAACCAGAACGCCTCCCAGTGCAACCAGAACGCCTCCCAGTGCAACCAAAAACGCCTCCCAGTGCAACCAAAACGCCTCCCAGTGCAACCAAAATGCCACCCAACTGAAACTCCTCCCTATGCAGTATGTCACTGGGCGTGTGAAATGTGACAGCAAGGAAAAGTAGCACTGACCGAAATTGCAATATTGACTGACACTACTGTGCAAAACAAACTCCAGATACTAGTCATATGAAGTGACCAGGTGTAAACGGGGTCTGTGTGTGTTTAAAGGCCCATATCCTACATTGTTCTTGTTCTTTAAGGTCCACCTTTAATATCTGCCTGGTTTTATATACCAAAAATAGTCAAAAATAATACTTTAAGGCTGACAAATATAAACACAACAGAGCTGATAGAGGCACAATTTGGGGCAGCCAATCAAGAAGAAGTCAGGACTGAAACACTCCTTATAACTCAAGTGTGAATGGGTGGGGCTAAACTGTTGTAGGCAGAATAGGTTGATCTATGACATCTCAAAAGCAAAGAATTCAAAACAGCTGTTTTTGCTGCTTAGTTTAACATACATGGATTGGGGAGGGGAATGGTTTGTTTTGAAACCTCAGCAGTGTTTACACACTACATTCAACTGTTTTATTTATTTTAAAGAGACATAAATTCAGTTTTCCTTTATATGGGCCCTTTAAATATGCTGCTGAATAAAGTTCTGAGAGAGAGCACTGCCTGTTCTTGGCTGTCAAGCAAGCCAGACCAAAACATTTAATGAAGCTGGACACAGATGTGCACTCTTTTTGCACCTATCCTATTTCTTTTCCATAATTTCCGATGGAAAAATGCCCAAGTGAGTATGGCATTGTGGCATTGTGCGACGTCTGAGTTGATGAAAGAGAATTCAAAGTTTGAAGTAAAACACACTTATTCTAATGAGTTTAACCGGCAGAGGGGAAAGTGAAAGAAAGAAGCTCTTTGTGTAGCCGAGGATGACGAGGCAACCGGCATTACAAATGACTCAGCACTTCCTCTGACAGCAGTAAAAACCACCATCATGAAACAAAATCATACAGACCAATGAAATATGGTGCACCGCCTGAGCCTTCACGTGAGAAACACGGGGTTTGGGTTCATTTTACTGGAGAACATGTTTGGTTCTGTGTTAATCAGCAGTTTACACACCTGCATGTTTGTAGCTATGAAACATTTATTTCCTCAAATAATAATAATAATAATAATAATAATAATAATACACACACAAACACACTTTCTGAAAACGCTTATCCTTCTGGGTCGCAGGGGGTGCTGGAGACTATCCATCCAGTCCATCGCTGGGCAGACAGACAGACATATACATTTCACTCAACATTCACACGAGGGGCAATTCAGCATGTCCAATCAGCCTGACTGCATCTTTTTGGACTGTGGAGAAAACCGGAGAACCTGGTAGGAAACCCACGCAGACACGGGGAGAACAGGCAAACTGCCCACAGAAACGACCCTGGTCACCCGGCCGGGGAATCGAACCCAGGCCCTTCTTGCTGTGAGGTGACAGCGCTACCCACTGTGCCGCCTATTATTATTATTATTATTTATTTAAAAATTTTTTTTTACTGCATTTAGCATCAGAGACTGTATCCAATCTAGTACAGATAGGTTAGAGTACAAACCGCCCCAGAGCTGGTTTGAACACTTAGATTAGACAGAGTAAATGTGCAATACAATAAATTTCATAAATGCTACTCAGCTCCTTGCAAAAAGTCTACACCTCTATTATTTATATTTAAAGCATGGTGTTAATTGTGAACGTAACGTTTCTCTGCAGTTCTGGACTCATAATACGTCTCTGTACGATTTATGTTCTAATAATAATGGTCAGCTGGACGTTCTAACAGTGCGGCCTGAACGTGGCAGGGCAGCTTTTAGTTACAGAGCCCCATCTTCGTGGAGCGATCTGCAGAAGCATGTGACACTGGAGCAGTTTATCTCCCTGACTGATCTTAAGATAACGAGAACTGCATCATTCTGCTTGTTCTTGTTTTTAATTTGATTTTGATTCTGGTTTGATTTTGATGTTGATGGTGTTTCTTTGTTGATTGTTCTTGTTTCTGTGCTGCCTTGTTGGCCAGGGCTCACTTGCCAAAGAGAATTTTAATCTCGATGCCATTACCGTGGATAAATAAAAAGTAAAATAAAATAAATAAATAAATAACTGTGAGTGTGAAATGTCAATGTTTTGTTATTACCTCATCTGAAAAAGATCTACAGATATTTCTATGGTATTTCTATCAGTAAATGTGGACAAAGAATATAATTCACTACAGTTTATTACTCATACTGCACTTTATATTTTATGGTTGTTTAAGTATGTTTTATCATATATCTTCTATTTATGCATCTATTACTACAGGGTGCTTCACAGGTGTTGCAGGTTGCTATTAGTCAGCACTACAGAATATTATAGATGGCAAAAATATAATAGATTCAGAATAGAAATCAGTTTATAGTTGTGTTGCAGGCATGTAAACAAAGACTGATGGCAAAGCAGTGTCTACTGTAGGGCTGGGCGATTAATCAAACTGTATTATTAATTATGATTTTGGCCTCCAACGATTATGAATACATGATAATCGAGATAAACAATTACTGTACAACATTTTTGCAACGATGCTCTCATTTTAACTAGTGTTATAAATACAGCGCACCCCCTTTCCTTCACAGTGGGGCACTTTCACCCCTCCCTAAAAGTGCAAACTCATCTCATTTATTTATTTTAAATATATGTTTAGTAGTTTTTAGTAGGTTGTGGATGTGCATTAGGACACAGTTGAGCTTATCTATTTTGATACTAATAATTTTTATTATTAATATTATATATTATTTATTTATTTGTCATATATATATATATATATATATATATATATATATATATATATATATATATATATATATTTTTTTTTTAATTCATGGTGATTCACTGTTTTTTTTACAACTTCAACAAATGAGAGTAATATGTTAAATAATCGTGATCTCAATATTGGCCTAAACAATCATGATTATGACTTTTGCCATAATCGAGCAGCCCTAGTTTACTCCAAAAGCTGCAGCCTGAATTTGTGGCTACTGCTTATGCTGACCAAACCTCTCAGAAACCCCAATGTGTAGAGGCTTCCAGGCTCAGTTAATGCCAACATTTCGAAATTTTCCAGATATTTCTGCAACTTCTTCCCCCATAAGCTGCACTCAGTCAGTCAGTCAGCTCCTCTGAGGCCTCTGAGCCTGTTTGATGTGTTTAGGCCTCGGCAGGTCACCAGGACGGAGCTTCATCGTCAAACAGCCCATTTTTTTTCATTTTCTCGAGTCTGTCTGCGAGCAAACCCCACCACAACCCCATCCCCCAATACTGCAGCCCCCCTCTACAGACCACAGGAACATGAAGGACCTGTTTTTTCCCCTCTAACATGCACAAACGCACACATGTGGCCTAACAAAGACACTGCGACACTGAGCCTGGCTCACTCCTCTACCAGCTACCCGGGGAGGAAGAGGACGTCTGCTCACCTTCTCACACTTCCAAAGAGTTTAATATAGATTAACAGTGCATTAACATATGGAAATACATCATAATAAGCCAACCTGGTCTGTCTAAAGCTCAACAACACATGGCCTATTTTTTGGTTTCGATATGTAAGCAAGGTTATTGTAATCTGTGTAGATTTTCCTCGTCGAATTAAGACTGTAGTTGGTCAAAATGTAACATAACAGAAGCATAATGTGCTTTAAAAGTTGGCCTCCTATTCGAATTTCCCCGTTCCACCTTAAATGGCGCAGCAGTTACATTCTGGCGCCTGAGGCGCCAGAATGTAACTGCTGCGCCATTTAAGGTGGAACGGGGAAATTCGAACAAGCAGCTGGCGAACGTGAAAGCTGACCTCAGCTTCTTTTAAAACAGGTCATTATAAGATGTTAAGAAGCACACAGAGCTAAAACGACACCATTTAACCCCACAGGAGACGCTGCTGGGGGGAAACCATGAATCATCCCCCTCATTCCTGACAATAAAACGAAACCAAAGCTCTCAGGCTGCTGCTGCTGCTTACCGAATGTCCTCCTTTGTTTGAACGTCTTTTCTGAAGGCATGTTTATAATAAGACCGTGTCCTCGTCTTTAGGCAGAGAGCCTGGGGTAAAAAAAACAACAGTGTCCTCTTCTGAGAAGGTCGTCCTCTTCTTCTGAGGAGAGTCTTTCTCTCTAAAAACACGGAATAGCGTGTGTTACAAAAGCCCTTCTTTTTTCTCTCTCTCTCTCTCCTCCTCTGCCTGCGAGTCTCTAACCAGCAAAACAAACCTATCAGCTGATC